CGGCGGCTGGGTTTGAGCTCATTAATAGCTGCTTGGACAGGGCACATCCCCTCAAAATTCCAGTCTTCTAGCTTCTCAGATCCTCGAATTAGCGACCTACTCGAAAAAAAAATTCAGGGGCCCGTGCTTGGAAACCACGCATACCCCCAAGGGCGAGGGTGGGTTTGAGCTCATTAATACCTAATTGGACGGGGAACATCTTGAAATTCCAGTCCTATAGCTTCTCAGATTCCTGAGCTAGCAACCTATCTGAAAGAAAAACTTTCGTGAGCCCGTACTTGGGTACTACGCACTCCGGGGTGCTGCGTTTGAGCTTGTTAATACTTATATGGATGAGGAACATCTTGTAAAATTTCATCTTTCTGGCTTTTCTGGTTCCTGAGTTAGCAGCTTGCTCGCCAAAAGTTCTGGCGGCCCCTACGTGGGTACCGGGTGGGTAAGAGCGCCCATTTTTGGAATTGGGGCCTTTACGTTCATGTAGATTAAGTTCCCAAAGTGTCGGCTCTGTAGCTTTTATAGGTCTTGAGATGAAAAGTCGATACAGACGCGCGCACACACACACCACACACATAGACAAACCCTCGTCAATATGCGTTGCAAAAAACGCATAAAAAAGCTGTAATTTAAAGTACAATTTTCGTGAATAATTTTTTTGGTGAAACATAAGACAAACTTTGTTGTGTGGACGAACACACAGAGAACTTTGAGGAGGCAAACATGCTGTAGTGAAGAACGATATTTTCTCGTTCGGATAATAAGATAAGCCGCATTAATCAACCCCCAGCCCTGTAGTATGATAGATGAGCCAAAACCATTTGATTGTAATTAGGGCTATAGTAAACATAACAAATAGCCATTTTTTAATATCAGAGACAAACGGAAATTTATATTTTCCCATATTTGAGGTTACGATAAGCGCACCTTAAAACCGCTTCGTTACTCCGAGGATTATGGTAGCCGTGTCAAACTGGCTCAATTGCTCATGCAAAAATTGAATCTAATCATAAAATTACTTCAGCTCACTAATTGCAGCATTTTTCAAAAATTCTTCATGTTACTAGGTGCCTTTTATGCGTATTTGCCACATAAAGCAACGACCCTGTCAGTGTGTGTATGTGTGTGTGTGTGTTCGTCTGTCCAGGTATTTCAACTCGCCAACCACGCAAGCTTTGAAGCTGAAATTTCCCCAATATGTTCCTCAGTCAAGTGCCACCCCACGACAGCGGTATCAACTCTCGCGCACGCCTGGGCCCCGCGTACGAGCACGTGAAAGTTTCGGAAGAAAATAGCTAACTCGGGAACGAGAAAAGCTAGAAAGCTGAAACCATAGGGCAATGTTCCCTACCTGTGTATAACAAAAAGATTTCAAATTCAGCTGCCCAGGAGTGCCCGGCGCTTACGTACGGACCCGTGAAAATTATGGCGAGAAAATTCATAACTCGGGGATGGAAAGAGCCAGAAAGTTGAAACTTTGAAGGAATGTTCTCTACTCATGTACGACGAAAAGTTTCCAAAGTCAGCTCCTTAAGACCGCCCGGGGCTCACGTACGGGCACGTGAAAATTTTTGGCGCGAAAATTACTAACTCGGAAACGGGAAAAGCTAGAAAGCCGAAACTTTCGGGGAATATTTCCTACCCACGTACGACCGAAATCAGGTGTTTAGAGGCATCCTGGGCCCACGTACGGGCACGTGGAAATTTTGGGCGAAAATCACTAGCCTGGGAGCGAAAACAGCATGAAAGCTGAAACTTTGGAGTAATTTTGGAAGCGCCCCGTGCAAAATTAGGTGTTTGGAAGCGCCCTGGGCCCAAATACAAGCGCACTGAAGTTTTGGCGCGAAAATTACTAACCCAAGAACGGGAAAAACTAGAAATCTGAAACTTTAGGGAAATGTTTTCTACTCATGTACGACCAAAATCAGGTGTTTAGAAGAACCCGGAGCCCATGTACGGGCACGTAGAAATTTTGGCGCGAAAATCATTAACCCGGGAACAAAAAAAGCTAAAAAGCTGAAACTTTAGGGTAATGTCCCCTGCTCACGTATGACCAAAAGATTTCAAATTCAGCTCCTTCAAACTGCCCGATTCTCACATACGGGCACGTAAAAATTTTGGTGGAAAACTGCTAACTCGGGAACGGTGAAAGCTGAAGGCTTTAATTTTACGGGAATGCCAAATCAACTCTTCTAGTCCGGCCTTTTTCGCGGACCAGCAACTTTCCATTTGTCGGGTCACTAAAGTCGATATCTACAACTGACATGCCACACAGCTGCACAAT